TATTATAGATTTATATTATCTATGGCATATCGTGGTTTTTGCTCGATGATATTGCCCAGTGCCCGCATTATGATAACAGTCTCAAAACAATGTTGGTCACCTATAATGCCATATGATCATTTTTTCACCTGATAACCTTTTATACATTTTATTTTTCTGCCATATTCTTATCAATCCGTGACTAAGTTTTCATTTTATATTTTTGGAATTTGTAAAAATAATTTTCGTTTTTCTTAAGTTTTTGAAAAATTTAAAAATGATTGCTTTTCGTAGATTTTATAGTAGCAATTCGGCGGTGACCCCTAGTGGCCCATCCAGTGAAACTGGTGGTGCATTACCAATAGATTTGGAAGGAAGACATAGATTTGTAAGACAACGACTTACTAATATGACAGATGAAGAAAGAGCTTTCCGTAGAAAATTCTTACACGACCAACACTTGTCTCATGATGAACCGGTTGCTGTCCCAGAAATGTACCAAGAATTGTATAATCCAATTAGACGTGCATTCAGAGCACCCATGAATGTATTTCAAGAATTTTTGGCCCCAAAAATTGTAAGTATACMATTGAAAAAATTGGATAAAAACGTAACAACTTATTTATTATTTAATTAATTAAGTTATTTTTAAGTGAAAATGTTTTTATAATTAAACAATTAGTAGTTGGGTACCTATTTGTTTACTATAATCTAAATTTCAATTAATTCATTTATATGTGCAGTTGCATTTATTCAATTTCTTGTCACATAAAGAAAATGCAACAACTTTGTCATATTACTATATTGATGTTCGTTTCATGACAGACACTCCCAAATTTACTACTTATATTTATAGAAACTTAATGGTTTATGTGGCATTGTGCACCAAATCACTTGARAAAAGTTACATAATTAAAGTTTATAAGATACATTTGTATAAGTTTTAATTAGTCACTGTTTCTATCAAATACAATTTTATAAATTAACTTTTTTACTGGTATTATTTAAGCTTAGCATGAGGTAGATACTATTTGTTATGTATAATTAATCAATAACTTATCAGATTGTTTTTCCATTTAGGGCGAAAGAACTGCTTTCAATGTACGGTTTTTAACAGGCAAAGCATTGATGGGACTCGCTATTGTTTATGCTGGTACATACTACGTTCTTTACAA